CCAGCACCCAGGTGAGCAGGACGGGGGGTGAAGGAGGACGAGGGACTCCTCGCCAAACCCTGGGAGGGCTGGGGGCTGCGGGGCCTGCGGGGTGCCATTCTGCGCCAGCAGTGCCACTGGTGTGGGTGAGGCTTCTGCTGGTCATGCGAACAGGAGGGTGCGGGGGTACCCTGGAAGGGAGGAAAGCAACTCCCCAAAATTGAATCCTACTCCCAGCGCTCCATTTTCATTGTCTTTAATCTCCTTTAAAGAGAGGGGGAAGGAAGGAGGGTCCGTCTCAAATCATGTTTTCCTAGCTGCTGGGAGAGCAACACCTAGAGCTGATACATCACTTTGTGGGAAGGAAAAAGAGACTTTGTTATTTCTTTTCACTTTATAAACAGTAAATGGGCTCCTCCAGCTTGTTTCCAGTTTGCTTACTCAGTGCTTCATGCGTTTGACAGTTTTTGGTGCATAGGCAGTTTCTTCTATTGTTTGCAGGGATTTTTCCAGAGGGGAAACTTTTTTTTTAACATTACAAAACCACAGAAACTGGCAGGAGGAATCTAGGGGAGGTACTGAATTGGAAACAGTTTTAAGCTTTAAGAAAAAAAAAAAAAGGAAAAAGAAAAGAATGAAAGCAACAAGATAAATAATTTCGAGAGGAGCTGGGAATGTGTGTCCCTGTCGCTGTGCGGCCGAGTTGGGGCTAGGCACGTGTGGATGTTTCATGGTGGAAAGCAGTGCCCTTGTACCCAGGGGCTCCTGAAGCTGGATCTGCCCTGGGTTTCCTCCCTCCTGTCCTGTCCCGGTGCCTCCACAGAGCTGCCTCGCTGGTGTGGCAATGCCTCGCCACTCTTGCACCAGGATTTGGCCCCAGCCCTTGCCAGGAATGGGGTTGGCTAATAGTTTGCAGCTTGACAGGCAGCAGGACGTGCAGGACTTTGCAGGGGAGGACATGCCTGGCGTCCATGCCCATCCCATCATTCACTGTAGTGTGGGTCTGCTTTGCACCGGCTGCTTCTGCACCCACACCACCGGTGGAAAGCGCCTGGATTTTTTTTTTTCCACTGATAAATGGCAGTGCTGCAAGGCATTTATTTCCGGGTATTCTTTCCCTTTCTCTTCCCGGCTGGCTGAATGAGCTGTTTTCCCTCCGCTTGGCTCTGACCTTCCTGTGTGCTCGGCTGTGGGCTGCTGGAAGCTGCTGGTGGGGAGGAGCAGGCTGGCAGAGGCCACCCCTGTGGGGAAACGGGTGTTGGATGTGCACGGCACGGGAAGCGGCTGTGAGCTGGAGAACTGCCAGCGCTGGGTAGTTTTTCCTCTCTTAATTAACAAAAGAAAAACATCGAGCTCTCCTTTGGAGTATGCTTTTGCTTTGGAGTAGAGGCATGCTGCTGATGGCGAGAGGAAGAGCTGTCAGTGAGGACAGGCTCTGCAGCTTGGCAGTACCCGGAAGGTTGGTTCTCTTGGTGCAATGCCATGCAGAAGCAGCCAGGTTTGGTGTTTGTGGCTGGGGTTTTACCTCTCCTGAGTCCTCATCTCGGTCCTGTTTGCACACAGTGTATATAACACCACAGGTTGCCAGTAAGCATCATGTTCCCTGTGCTGGCAGGGCTGAGTTTGCCTGTGTGCAGGAGCCTGAACTTGTGCAGCTGCCTTCGTGCTGGGGGCTGGTGTAATTTCCCATGGTCCCTGACCAGTGATCCCCTGCAGTGCTGGTCCATGATGAGCAAGTTTCCTCTGTGCCTGATGTTTCTCTGCTGTTTCTTTGCAGGCCAAACCCATTTATGGCGGCTGGCTGCTGCTGGCCCCAGAAGGAACGGATTTTGACAACCCTGTCCATCGCTCCCGGGTAAGCGAAGCCAAGATACCCTCTCTCCGTGATGTGGGTGGGGGGTGGCAGGAGGAGCAGTGAGGGCCTGTGCCTGCCTGCAGAGGTGGCTGCAGCCCCGGGAGTGCTGCAGGCACCTCCATGCCCCCATCCCCTTGTGCAAACCAGGAAGCCAGGAGATGTTTTCTGCAGCAGGGCTCAAATGCTTTCTCTGGGCTGCAAGGTCTTCTGTGCTGGGCAACAGGCTGGGGCACTGCAGTTTTATTGCTTGCTGCTGTTGCTTTTTGATGCCTTGATGCTGGTCTGGTTGGCCTGGCACATGCCACGCTGACAGGAAGGCTCTCGGGCTGGCCGAGACCCATCGGCAAGGCACTTAGGTTCCCTTTGGTGCTTGGAAACAACTACTTGATTTTCTGCAGCTCATTATGGGTATGCCCAGAGCCCTGGAGGGAGGCTGCATCCCATCCTCTAATGCAGATACCTCAGTGTCAGGCAGGTCCTGCAGCAAGGAAGGGACTGAGAGGTGATTCCTGTTTGCTGTAACCCTGCGGAGCTCTGAAGCTGAGCGTGTTGGCAGCAGAGATCCGCAAACAGAGTGGGGCATGCTCAGCTCCTGCCCAAAGGGGTTTGCTTGTGCCTTGCAGTAACAGCAGCATCATGTGGGGTTGGAGCATCCTCCGCTTTCCTGCCCTGGGCAGCGTGAGGCCCAGAAAGATGTGGCCAGGCTGACGTCCTTTCACTGGCTTGTGACAAGGACTCCCTGCCTGTCCCCAAGCTGCTCTTCCAGCAAACTTGCTGCTGAGGCCGCCAGGATAGGGCTGTCTTGTGCGTGGGAGGGATGGCAATGGTCCGTGAACCCTTTGTCACGCAGCCAAAATGCTCTCAGAGCTGCTAGTAATAAAAAAAAAATCTCTCCCGAGTGAACAAGAATTGGCTTCTGAGTTCAGCCTGGGGTATATGGGTCATTATTTGGAGTCACAGCCAGTCGCAGGCTTGCTGGCCCACCATTGCGGGGACATGGGACTTGGGTCCCCCCTGGAGCGAAGGCAGCTTGCTAAGCTGGGGCATGCGGAGGTCCACAGGGTCCTCAGTAGTTTTGCTTGTCCCTGAGCACCTTGGACTTTGCCCAAAGGGCTGAGAAAAGCGAGATAAGAATTGCTGCACTGGGGCTATGAATCTAGGACCTTTTTTATTTCAGCCTGCTCAACCAGTTTTTGCTCTTGGCTGAAAACATCCTGGCACACACAAAAAAAAGGCAATTTTCCAGCCAGATCAGTCTCCAATCTGTTTTGCTGTGTGGCTGCAGAAGCAGCAGTGCCAGTGTAGTGCCGCGGTAGGAAAGACCATCTAGGTAGTGCCACCCCTGGAGGTGTAGCCACCATCCAAATCCAGCTGATGCACTGCTGGGGACCACCTAGCATGACACCCTGTCACCCTGCAGCGCTGGGTGCTGGAATAGACCATGCAGGATGAAGCCAAGGGCTGGGAGCACTTAGTTGGGAGATCCCTCTGCTGTCCTGCAGGACTTGTGTCTCTTGGAGAGCAGTGATGAGATTTGTGGGCATGCTTCAGGAGGTTTGGGGTGTGAGAGGCTGAGCAGAAATACTTCTGCAACATTCATCGCCCTTTAGGAACAGTCCCTGCAGTGCTGGGGGTGCCCCCTTCTCTCACTGAGCTGTGGTCCAGTGCTCAGTGACACCTGGGCATGTGCCCTGTTGTCACGAGTCCCCTGCCATGAAGGGGTTTCGGTGCCTTTTCTCTGCCTCAGTGTTGTGGGGCGCAGCTCTGGTACCCCTGATGAGGCCTGTGGGTGCTGCTGTGACCTGCTTTGCTGTCTTCTCTTGCAGAAATGGCAGCGTCGGTTCTTCATCCTCTACGAGCACGGGCTGCTGCGCTACGCCCTCGACGAGATGGTAAGTGCTGCCCGGCGGAGGCGCACAGCCATGTTCATTGAGGCTGTGGGGATCAGCCAGGGCCACCTCTGCTGCCCTTGGAGGAGCCTCTGGTGATGCGCCTGGTATAGTGTGGGGAGGTCTCCGCCTAACTGGCGAAGAGTTTTGCTCTGGGCTTGAACTTACAGCCAGGCTGGGTTTGCATGGGAGCTTGGTGGACGGTCAGTGGAGCACGACGGGTGTTTAGGAGGCGTGTGGGTCCCGACCTGGCTTGGGGTTGATCAGTTGCTGACATCCTGCGTTGGTGGGGTCCCCAGGGTCCCCCCTGCTCCTTTCCACCCTGCCCTGTGCCAGCTGGGTTTGGTGGCGGTGAATCGCCTCGGCAGAGCCTGGGAAGGAGGCCCTGCCTAGCGATGCCTCGGAAAAGTAGGTCAGCTGGAACGCCTTCCCACTGCTTGCCACCCTGGAGCTGTGGCACGCCGCCGGCAATGCTCCCCTTGGTAAAACAGAGCGGGGAGACGAAAGGAAACCCATTTGCTGTGAGCTGCAAAATGGGGATGATGAGCCCAGTGGGGTCAGCCCTGCCGTGACTGCCTTGGGCTGCCGATTTATCCTTCCGGCTACAGCACGCCTGTGGGAAGGGGCCCAAGGTTGAGCATGCTGGCACAGGACGGCGGGTGCCGGTGTGCTGGGATCCACCTGGGCGGAAGGCTCACGAAGCTGGGTGCATCGGGATGTGGGGAGTGTATGTGCACACACACGGGGCTGGGACGTGTGGGGACCTGTGTCTGTGGCAGGGAGGCTCCCTGCGAGGGTGGCATGCCTTGGTCCTCCGCCGATGCCTCCTTTGAGGGCACTGTGGGACAGGGAGACAAGGCAGCACAGCGAGTGTTGTTCAAGTTTCATGCCTTGTTTGTTTGTATTTTTTCCTGAGGTTGATCCAAGTGCCCTAAATAATTTAAATGTCTGGGGTAGGAGCGGTGGCTTTCAATACATTTTTAGTGTCTCAGCAACCTGGCTCTGCGCTGGGCTGGTGTTTCATGTCGTACAGCGGCAGGAGAGTGGTGTGTGGCTGGATGGGATGGGGAGATGCCCTGATCCAATGAGAGGTAGAAGGACATTAGGAAAAATGGGGTTTAATTTTTTTTTTTTTTTTTGACTTTGCATCCTTGAGAGGTTGATCTGCCCCAGGCACTGCTGCCTCTGTCAGGAGTAGATGAGCAGTGCCCCAGCCCTGTGCCCTCCTCTCTGGACCCCCCGTGTCACTGGGGACTGTTGCTAGAGAGCACACTGAGGATGGGGGAAGCATCCCACAGTTCTCCGGGCACTTCTTGGGCTTTTTCCCCTTGAGAAGGGTAAAAATGGAAAAAACAACAAACAAACAAAGGGAGCATGCATGTGTGCAGCATGGGTTGACCCGTGGTGGTCCCAGGCTGGACCCCCTCCTCAGCCACTGCTGGGTCCCTGCATCCCTCCAGCCCTGCGTGCTCTGTGGGACTGCTCTGACCCAGCAGAGCACTGCCGGGATGGGGCACCAGGACCCCCTGCTGTCATGGCCCTTCGTGGTGCAGTGGGTCCTGCAGGAGCGCTTCGGTCCAGCCTTGCCATGGCCGCAGATGGAGGACATGGTCACAGCTCCCTCTCCTCATCAGGGTTTGACACATGGTGTAAAAAATACCCTCCTGGCCTTTTCGCAGAGCACATCACTGTGTGGGATCCCTGCTGCTGTTTGCACCGGCTCTGCTAAAGGTGTCGCCTGGCAACAGTTGGGCACAGCCTCCCCCGGCCCCTTCCAACCCGTGGCACTGGAGCATCCCCTGCCATGCTGGCTGGGCTGGGGCAGGGGGAAAAGGCTCCAAGCAGGAGGGAACAGGGGGTTTTGTTGTCGCTCAGCCCATGCAGGAGCGGGGCTGAGAGGCTGACGGAGGACAGACGGGCCATCTTCTTCCACATGTGGGAACGTGTCCCCTCAGTGGGGCCAGTCTCGCTCCCTGTCTGCTGGGAGGCTGTGTTTACAGGGGGTCAGGTAACTCCTGCACAGCTTTTCTGCTGGTCCCTGGGAGTAACCCGTGCCCATTGCCATGCAGGTTTCTGCTCCAGCAGGACCGTGATCCCAGTACCACCAGGCTCCCAGCAAGCCCCCTTATGTCAGAACCAAGACCCCACGCGGGTGTTAGCCCTCAGCCTTTGGCTGGTCTGTGCAAGGAGGGGGGACCTGTGGGGAGCAGCTGGGTGCGGCGTGTTGAGCACACTGGGGCTCAGCTGGGGTGCGGCTTTCCTGCCTGGGCAGGGACAGAGCGTGGCTCAGAGGGTGCCACGGCTCCAGTGGGTTTGGGACCTACAGCATCAGGCTGTGATGGCTGAGTCTTGGGGGTCACTGGAGGGAAATGGTGGCACTCAGGTCAGGCTGTCAGCAGGCACATCCCCACGGGGGATGCGAGGACCCAGCCCTGTGCCCACCACACCTCGGGCATTGCTGGCTAGAGTTGCTGGGGTACACTAGATCCTCGCCCAAGGTGCTCGCCTGCTCCCTGCCTGTGGCTCTCCACCCTGCTGGCTCTGCCAGCTCCTTACTGTGTCCCCACCACCTCCATGGGCCAGGGAGGAGTAACGGGGCTGGGACCTTGCCCGGGAAGTGCCTCTCCCACACGCAGCGGGGACGCTTTTTTTGCATGTGGGATCCACTTTGCAGCTCCTGCAGGGATGATCTACCCCCAGTGTGCCCCAGTTGCCCCTCCAGGAGCCAGGTGGAGGTCCCATAGGGACCTCGGTGTGGAGGTGGCCTCTGCAGCATGCTGGGAGCCGGGCAGCAGCTGGCCAGAGATCTCCCAGGCAGTTGCAAGTGGGAATTGAATTGCTCTGCCTTGAACCTGTTAGACATTAATTTTGTGGGTTTGACAATTTCTGCTCTTATTAAAAGTGGGAGGGGTGGGCTTCGGAGTGGAACCCCAGGCTGGCGATGGCAGTGGAGACACTCCTGTGCCTGGCCAGGGAGACCCTGCGTCTCATTCCTGGTGAATTGAAGAGCAGAGGGGTGTGGAGGGGTGGCTTGAAACCCAGCCGTGAGCTGGGGAGACCTCAGGGGGTCTCCAAAGACGTTGGTGCTGCAGTACGCAGAGGCCATGGGATGGGGCAGCCTTGGGCACAGGAGCCTTTTGCCATGGCGTGGGTCAAGTTTGGTGTTGGATCAGAGCATTTTGGGCAAGGAAATCCCTTAGGAGAAGGTGGGACAAGCAGGCACCAGCACCCTCCTGAGATCTGCCCACAGGTGTCCCTGAGCTGATCCTGAGCCTGTGCTCCTACTTGGCTGCCCTCTTTCTGTATGCCCATCCTTTTTCTCTGCCATATTTTCACTCTGAAAACCCAAACCAGTTCCGCACAAAGGCTGTGACGGGGAGGATGTGCACAGGCTATGGGCCTCCATCCCCTCAGAGCCAGGCTGAGCTGCCAGATTCACTCCCTGGGGTCTCCCTCTTTCACGCTGGGTGCTATTCCTGCCAGCAGCCCCAGCCTTGTGCCGGCACTGCACCCAGAGGCTGTGTGGCCGCTGGGAACACCAAGCTGAGCGCATCCCCTTCCCCTCCACAGGGAGTGTGCCAGCAGCCGTTCCCAGCTCTGCCGAGCCCTGGCTAAGCCAAGCCTGCTCAGACGTGCAGACATTCCTCCCTCCCAGCCATGAGTGGATGCGGAGGTTGTGCGATTGCTCGGGGTTGCCTTCGCATGCTGAACCACTGCGATTACCCCTTGGCACTAGCTTGCTCCTGCCATTTGATAAACCTCTGTGCAGGGCTGAATTATGTTCAGGGGCTGATATTTCTCTGCAGCAGCTGGAGAATGGTGAAAACACTCTTATATTGAGTTGAGGGAAGACAGAAAAGAGGGTGAACTGTAGGCAGGGACAGGCTTGGAGACGAGCCTGGGACATTTGCCCCTGTGTACTCTCCAGTCCTGTGGCACTTCCTTGGTTTTCCAGAGAGATGCGTTCCCTGGTTCCCTGTTGCACAGCATGTTAGTGTGAGGCTAGAGACTGCCAGAAAACCTAAGCCAAGGGAAATGCATCCAGAAACTTCTTTTGGAGGTGGGTCACCTGAAGAGCTTAGACCTTTGGTACTTCAGGATATTTGAAGCTAGAGAGGATTAGGGAAACAGCCCTGCCCAGGCTGGGAGGGATCACAGTCACTTGAGGGGACGAGGGGAACCTGTGCCAGGACGGTGAGCAAAGCTTCCCTCGGCTGCTGCCTGCCTGGTGGCTGCATCCCAGCATGTTCTGTCCAGGGGGAGATGCCCAAACTGGTGCTGGCAACTGCACCTTCTGATGTCTCGTGCTGCGAAAGGTCTCAGCCCTCCTGATACAACACCCTGTGGTCTCCAGCAAAACCGCTGCTGCTGCAGCAGCAGGAGAGCAGCCTGGCACCACGGTGCTGGGGCGGTTTGGGAGGTTTCGGTTGAGGTATAGCAGCTGCCACAAAAATAGTGCTGGGGTAAGGGGATGGAGCTGGCAAGTGCAGAGCATTTGCCTCCTTTTGTTTTGATTGCCGCAATCTATAATTAGCGGCCGATGTCTCTATAAATAGAGCCCTGCTGCGTGGGAACGTAGTGGAGAGGCAGTGGGTGTGCAGGAGGGGATGGATCCAGCCCCGTGGCAAGAGCAGGTCAGAGAAGAGGGTTTGGATCTCTAGTCCAGTTTTTTAATGACTTGTTACATGTCTGTGGGCCAGGCCTAATCTCTTTGCCTCAGTTTACCCCTCTGCCACTTCCCCTGGGCTGGGGTTTATGCTAGGTTGGCAATTGTGGCAGTGCTTTGCCCCCAGCAAGAGCAGAGGGGCAGCTGCATCCTCCCTTGGGGTATTGTCCCATCACACCAGGTCTCCTTTCAGTGGCTGCCTGAGACTATTAATTTTGGGTTTTTTTCTTTGTAGATACGCTTGTTTGAAAGCAGGACAAAAGTCAGGCTCACCTGGGAGAATCAAACTTTTTTTTACTGTGGATAACAACAAAAATCCCCGTGAAGGATCAGGATG